ATTCAAACGTGAGTTTTGAGCAGTGTAGAGTAGCGCTTGTTGTTTGTCGTTTCTCCGATCACAAATGCAGACATGGTTTTATGTTTACGCGGCGCGATGCAACGCAACGCGTAAAAAGACTGTATAAGTAATTATAATTAGTAATTATGTCCCCACTGGATGCAACAAATGCCTCGTTTATAATGGGTTTTATTGGTTTTGTCTTGTCGCGCCGGGACTCGTCATCACAGTATGGTAAGGGGCGTAACATTTCCGTCACACGCTTGAGGAATTCGGCCAATCACAACGCACTAGATAGCTGGCCAATCAGAGCACACCTCGCTTTTCAGAACGATGAGCTTTGTAAAAATCGACGCGTTTCAGAAAGGCAGGGCATAGAGGAGAAACAATAATGTACATTTCATTACACCAAATACACAAAATAATGTTCTTTTTTAGCAAGGTCATATGAGCCCTTTAAAAAAAAATACAAATAAAATTAAAAATCCCAAACTTATATTATTCATGTATTCTTGTTTATTCTAAGTGAGTATTAGATGGCATCAGTAATCTAAATGTAAAAATGGGAAGAATGAGCACACACAATTATCTAATTTTAACTGATACATTTCAAATATCTCTAATATCAGTATATACACGGCATGAAGCAATTACAGCAGCTAACAATGCTAATGACATTAACCTCAACAATCTGACAATCTCAGAGACATTAAACGCAGGAACTCTTAATCATAATTGTTATATCTGTACTACGTATGAGTCACCTACTTGTAACCCAAATTCGGGTGATATCGGAGTATGTATCCTGCAGTATGGTTAGATTGCGTGGAGGTTGAGCACCCATGCATGAAGGATGGTTTGGGCTTTGCTGGCGTGATCTTCTGCCCCATGGATTGGCTGCATGTTTCTCTCCTCCCAGCTCAGTGCAAGTCTGCATGGTGAGCTGTCAAAGTTGATTACAGTCACAAACTTCCACGATCAATAGAGCCTCATCCCGAGACATACAGCGAAAAGGAAGGATGGTGAAAGAGGAAGACTAGTACACAGAAAAAAGACACATGGGGCAGAGAGATCAAGGGCAGAGAATGTGATAATTTGTTCATGCCTCTTTTGCAGCATGCATTACAAGACATGCAATATAGAGTGTATAGAAATGCATAGTCAGCCACACTGTCAGAGTTTCATAGAGACATATTAACGAACCATTAAGAACATTGTTCTAATAAGCTGCAGACAAATCAACCGGTTAATGTTGGATCTGGCTAGTCAGCCCCTAAACGACTCTTTTAAAGAAAGGGCCTAGATTACACCCAATGGCATAGGGACAAAATCTGCTCTGCATTTACGACAAAAATGGTAAGCTTTTGAAGCTTTTGTTTTCTACAAGCTCTGGCAGAGAGACAACCTTTCTTGCTTTCTGAGCCATGAAAAGGTCCTAGGGTGTGGCAAAGCTTCCACAAGCCTTCATCTGGGGTTTTGTGTAGTTGCCAATCTGATTCTGTTGGCAGACGACTGTGTCACTTATGAGACAGCAGGATTTGTGTGGCTATGAGGCAGATGGAGAGATTTATAGAGCTGCTAAACAGGAAAATGAGCTGACAAAGCATGCTGAAATCAAGTCCGGTCTAGACTGCAATCAACAAATCTTTGTGAAATTATAGCCTGCTAATTCTTTAGCACATGGCATGTGATAGCCAATGAGGATGATGAAAAGAGTAGATAATTATATGAACGAATATATTTACAAAAACATTCACCCTGATATCTAAATGAGGGCATGCCACAGAGTTCTGTTGTTTTGTATATTAATAATTACTACAGACTGAACCAAAAAGAAAATGTACCCTCTACAATATTTTTATATGTGTAATATGTATAAAACCAATAATATGTATAATATTAAAATAATAATCCATATTATATATTAATGTTTTAAAATGTAATTTATTTATGTGATGGCAAAACTGAATTTTCAGCAGCCATTACTGCAGCTTTCACTGCCATATGATCCTTTAGAAATCATTCTAATATGCTGATTTGGTGCTAATTGTTATTATTTATTATTGGTGCTCAATTATTAGTAATTGATCTTCTTATCATCAGTCTTGAAAACAGTTTTTGCTGCTTATAGTTTTTTTGTGGAAACCATGATACATTTTATTTTTTCAGAATTCTTTGATTAATATAAAGTAGTTACTGTCATTTGATCAATTTAATGCACCCTTGCTAAATATTTTTAAAATATTATTTAACATTTAATAATATATATTTTCTTTCTTTTTTACCCCAATCTTTTGAATGGTAGTGTAAAGTAATCACTTTCTTCTTCTTCTTCTTTTTTTTTTTTTTTAAATATTATATTACATGTATTGTACTTATATTTATGTCAGGAGGATTTTGTCCCCAAAGTGTAGCTAAACAAACCCACACACACCCACACTCTCCATCTGGGCTTTGGCATATACTGACATATGTATCTATAGACCACAAATAATTGTTTTTCCTATTGGATCACTGCACCCACAACATACATGTCTGGTCAATTATTCAACTAAAGGCTATTGGTTGTTTTTTGCACCTGAGATGTTGCAAGACAACCCAAATCTATCTGCTTCAGCAGTCTGAAGCAGATCTTCAGTCCACATCTCATCATAGTTTAGCCCCCCTGAACAAATCCCCCATGCTCAAAAACACTGCTTATGATGCAAAAAGCTTCTAAATGATTATTGAAGATTAAATGTAATGATGATTAAAACTAGAAAAAGGTGGTAGGTTAGGTCTCAAAGTGTGTCTAGTAACACCACTATATGGAGCTAGAATGCATAAGATGCATTTTGAGGGTGTGAGAAGAGCCAGATGACTTTGAAATTAAGCGAGAATACAGAATTTATTTTCTGAAAGCTCTCAAAGCCTTGTGTTTTCACCTCTACGTTCTTGCAATGCACTATCCCCATTAAAATCAATGGATTTACCATTCCCTTTAAGGCAGGGGTCTTCAATGTTTTTCAGGGCATGGATCCCTTAGGCGATAGAGATATGGAGCAGGGACCTCCAATACAAAATGTGTCAAACAGAGCTACATATATTAAGCGTATACCCTTCAATATAACCCTTGCTCTAAAGAATCTAAAAGGTCCATCATGTCCATCTGACATACAGCAGGTCAGGATGAAGAGTGAAGCTACTAACGCCTCACAGAAAACACTCTCTGGCTTTTGCAACAGCAGTGGCCTACATTCCAAAGAGCCGTGCCAGGCCTATTGCAAAATCAATACTCAACAGCCTCTCTTAACAAACACTCTGGCTCTTCCCAGTGGTATGAGAGCCACAGCCTGCCAAACCTCTGTCAGACTCATATTTGTGTTAAGTTTGAATTCAGCATTTTCCTTGTTCTCTATTTTCTCTTTCTTTTTGTCCTAATGGATGAAATCCTTGGCCTTAGAGTGGTAGCAGAGCCAAACAGCCTGGCCTGCGGTTCAGCTGTTACAAAAAAAAACAGTGAGGATCAGCCTGAAAATGTTAAACCTGTGGTTATTTAGGTGGCTACACACAAAACACTGCTATATTAGAACAAACCAGCTCATTTCAGTGCACATAAATGTATAAGAGTATATATTTATTGCTCAAAAGAGCAGCAGTGGTTCGCCAACTAATTTTCAGCCGAGTCCAAAATATTGCATTCACGGCTCCTGCCAGGAGTGAAACCTGCACAGAAAGATTTAGTATGCCAGAAGAATGACCTTTACAAAGTCCAAGTAAAAACTAGCTCAGTCACTGTCCAGTGGCATGAACCAACTTTAAAATGCCAACAATCACTTGCTGGAAAATACATCATCGCCTTGTGACATAGCTTTATGCTTGAATGCTCGAGTACTGTATAATTTATCAAATGGTTTAAAAGGTTTCCAAGAAGCGCTTTAATTCAGCTGCAATTATCACAAACATCCACATATTTAGAGCGCAACATAGTACTTAATTATATAATTAAATGCAGATGTTATGATTGCAAAGGATAAATGTAAGTGCAGCATGTAGCAGTCATGTAATACAACTGCAGCAACAACCAATATTTTTACTCGTTCTCATTTTCTCCAAGTAAAAACCTGCCACTGAATGAACACAAGTTACGGTCAAATGAAAGCATTTCAACTACCTTGTTTTCTTTATAAAAATAGAGCAGAAATGTTAACCTTTTCATTTAAAAAAAAAACAAACACTCATATTAATTCTTCTGTTAAAACTTGTGTATTACAGCTGCAATTATCACAAACATCCACATATTTAGAGCGCAACATAGTACTTAATTATATAATTAAATGCAGATGTTATGATTGCAAAGGATAAATGTAAGTGCAGCATGTAGCAGTCATGTAATACAACTGCAGCAACAACCAATATTTTTACTCGTTCTCATTTTCTCCAAGTAAAAACCTGCCACTGAATGAACACAAGTTACGGTCAAATGAAAGCATTTCAACTACCTTGTTTTCTTTATAAAAATAGAGCAGAAATGTTAACCTTTTCATTTAAAAAAAAACAAACACTCATATTAATTCTTCTGTTAAAACTTGTGTATTGTTTAAGTTGTAAAGCTGTTAGCAAACCATTTCCATAGCAATATAGTTATAAAATCAGCTATAACTTTACACATAAAAGGTTATCTAGTGATCTTCTCAACATAAAATCACATTAACACATATTGTGCTTAAGTCTTGTGGCTACATTTTTGAAAGTGAGTATATTCATGTTTACAGATTGGGCCCATTCACTTCCAATGTAAGTGCCTCACTTTAACCCAAATTTGTATTTTTTTTAAAGAAGTCAAAATTCATTTTTGTGGTTCCCTACATTATGCCACAAAACGCTGTCAATTGAGCTTAACTCCCAAACTGAGAAAATTCCTTAAAGCCCTGAATGCTGTTAGGCAGGATAATTAAGTGCAATAAAAAGCCCACGGAAAAACAATCAAACATATCACAGCCTTTCAGACTCACCCATGTGTATATCAAGGCAGAAGGGATCCATGAAGAACAGCTACAGCTGATAGATGGTTTGTCTGAAGGATGAAGGGAGCTATGCCAGCCTGCAGTGATCTCTTTAGAGAGAGCTACTCTCCTGACATGTACCTAGGACAAAACAAAAGGTTTCTTTGAGGCTCCTCTCAGAAACACACATCCATGAAATACCTTTCTCCCCCTCCCCCCCCCTCCTCCAAGCGGTCATTTAAAGAATAGACTGTCCCCTGCTGCCGATCAATCTGTTAAGAACTCTCCATTCTCTCTGAATTAGGAAATCCTGGCTTTCTTCCATTGGAAAGCTATCGAGAGTGAGCACAGCAGGATGGATTTCCAAAACAAGATTTTCTCATGCCAAGTGGCACCTCTGTGTACAATTGAATTCCAGTAAGGTTTGTTTTTCTGTTTGTTCTAAGATTTCAAGAACAGGAAATATGATTAAATCAGACATGCTTGTGCCATTCAAGCTGCTTTTTTTAATTACCAAAAAGAAAAATATATAATTAACTACAATGATGTGAAGCCTATGGGAGTAAATGTATATTTACTATATCAATAACATGAATGGGAACTGGGTCTAACATGCACCAAAATAGGCAGCATACAAGTACCATAATATTATTCAAATACATGTACTTGGCAAAGTTTCTATACATTACTTTAATGAATTTTGGTCTCTTGCTCAAACAAATATATTATAAGACACCATAAAACGTAGAATATATAATAATAATAATAATATGAACCACATTTATGGACACCGTTTGAGTTTTGACCGTTGAGAAAGACAACATCATTCATTTTTCAGGTACTTCTTTAACAAAACAACAGGACATTAATACTCTGATATGAAGTATTCTTAATAAAAGAATGAAAGAAAAACTAATGTCTAAATAGACACGTGCAGCAAAAGTCAAGCAGGCTTATGCAAAAGTTAGATTATAATAATAATAGATTAGAAAATCAATTCTGCACAAACAATGAATCCAGAAAAGCACTCAAAAATGGCCATAACAGAGTACATTTGCTGCATAATATTTCAACCTCCAGATGAGGCAATTAACTAAATCGCCTTGTCTTGACAACGTAATAAGGCAAGTGGGAGGAATGGTATTTTTTACGGTAAAATTCCGGCAACCACAGCTGCCGGTTTTTTACCGTAAATTTTACGGAATTTTTTTTACAGTGAGATGCTCACGGCCGGCTTGACCCCAGTCCAGTCATCGCTCTGTTCATAAGAGCACTTCAGTCACCGGCCGTGTGACCGCACTCACCAATGGAGAGGACAAATGGGCCACATTAATAACCAGAAATGAATCAGGAAAAAGGCTCAATGTGACAGTTAGACAGAAAAAAAGACACATTCAACAATCCATCATCAGCCAGCAGAGGAAAATGGAGGAGGGAATTAGGTTTTGTGTTAGTTATCACATGACTCAGCATTCAGCACACTTCTGGTTTACAATTCTAATTTGTTATTGTGCAACAGTGACTTTGCATCTTATCTTTAGGTCCAGACAGATTTTTTGAGTATTTTCTACCTTCATTTTTAGAGAGAAAAAACAGCTTATTCATAATTCACTTCCTGTGTGTCCACTGACTGAAAGGTCCCGATGGGTTTTTCTTACATGTCCGTGAGCCAGGGGCACAGATGTGCTCGTATGTCACCTGAAGGTTGTGTAGGCACAGTATCCATCAGTGCCATCTGCTGTCTACATAACATGACAAAAGAAAGAGTCACAAATGACCATTCTATTGCGTTATATACTGTATGAGTTCAAACTTCTTTATTTTGGCATTATTATATTTGTTTCTTGGCTAAAATGTCACATTCTTGTCTTTATTCAGTCAGAGAGGTCCATTAGAGACATTTCAGTATCTTAAGAGGTTTGTTGACATTGTTTGTCATTTTGACCTTTTATGAACGACCCACATAATTTAAGGATTTAATTAAAGAGTTAATGCTTCTGCGTTTTCTATACAGTATGTACCTGAAAGTAAAGGGAAAGAAAACAACAACCCAAGTCTCATTGTTGACTGCTATTTGCAATCGCTCTCGATGCCCCCTGAAATTACATTATTACTTCATTTTAAGAGGGTTGAAAATGGACAAAATTACACAAGATTCTCTGAGTGCTGAGTGCACCGAAAGAAAATGGTCATGTTCAAGCAGAACAAGCTAAAATAAGAGTTATGAGCCAATAAAGGATATTTTGTCAGGGTGTTTCGACCAGTTGTATTCCAGTTGATGCATACACATGCTAGTCGAGCTACAATCACATTATCCAGATCTGCTAGTCTGACTTCACTAAAAAAAGAGGTACAATTTTAGCCGGACTAAAACATGTACATGACATGTAAAAAATACGACTTACTGTTTTATTTGTTGTTGTTGTTTAAAGCAATACCAGGTTAAAAAAATACTTTTAATAATTTATAAATTATAAATGAATAAGCATGCATTACATTAATTCAAAGTAACTGCAAAGACTTTGATGTTGTTACAAAAAAAAAAAAATTAAATTTCAAATGTTTTTTCAAAAACTGAAAAAACGAGTTTCATAAAAATATTAAGCAGCACAACTGTTTAAAACATAAGAAGTGTTTTTTGAGCATGTGACACGGAAGACTGAAGTAACAGCTGCTGAAAATTCAGCTTTGCATCACAGGAATAAATTACATATTAAAATAAAACACTATAATAGAAAACAGTCATTTAAATTTGAAATATTATTTCATAATAGTACTGTTTACTGTATTTTTGATCAAATAATTGCAACTTTGCAGACTATATGAGACTCCGTTGTAAATAACCCTCAGTTATTTGAATTAATTTCCAGGATTTATATATTATTCTTGTCACATTTGTTCAAAAACATAAAAAAAATACTACGACTACAAACTTTTGAACAGTAGAATAAATACAATAAAATTTGACAAAAATTATATAAAAAAAAAAACATTCCAAAAAGAAAATAAATTACTTTTGAAGTTCGACTGAAATTGAACTTGCATGTAAACACACTTACAAAGTCTTTTTTTCGTTTTTACTTACTGTCGCAGCAGATGTGTGAAGTGTGAGACTGTGGAATGGTCCTACTTTGATTAAAGCTCTTGGTCCACAGGGGACTTTTTTCCCATTAAGAGCCTTTGACATTTCTAAGGGGAAATAAATGACCAGTAAAGCTTGTTTTTGAACAATGCTCTTGGATTTTTCATCCAACAAAATGGGAAAGTGTGACTGACTGCCAAAGCCTGAGCTGGTGCACGGTGGTCCATCGTTCAAAGTAAGGTTTTTGAGTTTGTGATAAATGATTTAATGTGTGTACATTCGTGCTTGGAGATCCGTCAAGCATATTTGAACAGATCTAACTGAATATAATCAAACGTGAAAATCATGGCCAGTAATACAGCTTTTCAGCTTTTCAGGGTCGGTTTTGCTTTGGTGTTGTGTTTCGTTTTTGCTGCAGGGCAAACATGTCGGCCTCGTCACTGTGGAAATCTTGCTTCATTGGCCTGGAGAAGAAAAAAACAACAACAACAAAAAAAACATTCTTTTATGTTTATACTTCATATGTTTTCTACAACATAGTAACTGAATATAATCAAACGTGAAAATCATGGCCAGTAATACAGCTTTTCAGCTTTTCAGGGTCGGTTTTGCTTTGGTGTTGTGTTTCGTTTTTGCTGCAGGGCAAACATGTCGGCCTCGTCGCTGTGGAAATCTTGCTTCATTGGCCTGGAGAAGAAAAAAACAACAACAACAAAAAAAACATTATTTTATGTTTATACTTCATATGTTTTCTACAACATAGAGCAGTGACAGAAGAGGAGGCCTGGTCAGATGTGGCCTCCTAGAGAGAGACGGATGTTTGAGAAAAACAATATTGTGAGCCTTGTGATCGAAGTCTGCCTCAGAGAAAGAGAGAGAGAAAAAGAGAAGTGAAGAAACCACATCTGTTTTCACTCAAAACAATCAGCATCAACACTGCAAGCAGCTTTCTAAAGCCTGCCGAGGGATGGCTCAGACCGGCAAATTTAGACATTCTATGCTTGAGTTTCAACACAGATTGAATGTAATGCATACGGACGTGGAATCCCAATCAGTCAAGATGCCCAAACCGAAGGAGGCTGTTGAGCAGATCTCACCGTGGGACACATTAATATGAATAGAGCCCAGCTTGATGGATGAGAAGATGAGGATTTAATTTTTCACTCTGGATTTAGCAACTGGATCACTTTCTGAAACAGGAAAACCCTGGTGATGAAATGAAAAATCTTGTCCAAAACCGATAAATCTGGAAACAGTAAAGCATAAAAACGAAATTAAATAAAAAATAATAATATAATAAAATACACTACATATGTGTGTGTGTGTGTGTGTGTGTGTGTATATATATAGTAGTATATATAATAATTATATTTATAATTATATTTATATTTATAATTTATAATGAATTAAATTTCAAATGTTTTTTCAAAAACTAAAAAAACGAGTTTCATAAAAATATTAAGCAGCACAACTGTTTAAAACATAAGAAGTGTTTTTTGAGCATGTGACACGGAAGACATTCAAATAACTTAATTCAGATGAATTAAATAAAAAAACAGTAACAGATACTGAATCATATTTCAATATTACAATTAACTTAATTGTTATTATTTAAATTATATATTTAATTAACTCCTTCGAGTTGAATTACTGAAATAAATGAACTTTTCCACAACATTCTAATTTATTGAGATGCACCTGTATATTACATTCAATGATTAAATGTAAATCATTCCTTTATAATATTTGAACATGCCAGTTTCTACTCTGTTGCTGTAATGAATCAGTCCACTAAAGGCGAGAGTAGTGAAGAACGTCTCGGTTACGTATGTAACCCTCGTTCCCTGAAGGAGGGAACGGAGACGTCACGTCGGATGACCGACGAATTGGGATCTCGCTTAGAGGGACCAATCTACTTCGAGTGTAAACTAAACGAGCCAATGCACATTGGCATGCGATTATTGCATCCAGCTGCCGCTGATCACAGC